ACCTATACAACAAAAACTATACGACATTATTGAGTGAAATCAATGATGATAAAAAGAAATGGAAAAATATTCCATGCACATGGATTGGAAGAATAAACATAGTTAAAATCGCCATACTACCTAAAGCAATCTACAGATTCAATGCAATCCCAATCAGAGTCCCAAGGACATTCTTCACAGAAATAGAACAAAGAATACTAACATTCATATGGGGCAACAAAAGACCCTGTATAGCTAAAGCAATCCTGAAAAAGAAGAACAAAGCTGGAAGCATCACAATCCCTGACTTTAAAACATACTACAAGCGATAGTAATTAAAACAGCATGGTACTGGTACAAAAACAGACACACAGATCAACGGAACAGAATTCAAAGTCAAGAAATAAAACCTCACATCTACAGGCAGCTAATCTTTGACAAAGGAGCTAAGGACATACAGTGGAGAAAGGAAAGTCTCTTCAATAAATGGTGCTGGGAAAACTGGACAGCCACTTGCAAAAGAATGAAAGTAGACCATCTTCTTTCACCATACACAAAAATTAACTCAAAATGGATCAAAGACCTGAAGGTGAGACCCGAAACTATAAAACTCCTGGAGGAAAACATAGGTAGTACACTACTCGTTATCAGCCATAAAGAGATCTCTCCGAATTCCACATCTACCCAGACAAGGGAAACAAAAGAAAAAATAAACAAGTGGGACTTCATCAGATTAAAGAGCTTCTACAAGGCAAACGAAACCAGGACCAAAATGAACAGGGAACCCACCAGCTGCGAAAAAATATTTGCAAACCATACATCTGACAAGGGATTAACCTCCATAATATATAAAGAACTCACACAACTGAATAACAAAACAACAAATAACCCAATCAAAGAAGGGGCAGAGGAAATGAACAGACACTTTTCCAAAGAAGACATACAGATGGCCAAAAGGCAAGATGCTCAACATCACTAGTCATCAGAGAAATGCAAATCAAAACCACACTAAGATATCATCCTACACCCATTACAATGGCTATAATCACCAAGACAAAAAACAACAAATGCTGGAGAGGCTGTGGAGAAACAGGATCCCTAATTCACTGCTTGTGGGAATGCAAACTGTTGCAGCCTCTAGGGAAAACAGTAAGGAGATTCCTCAAAAAATTAAAAATAGAAATACCTTATGATCCAGCTATCCCACTACTGGGTATCTAACCAACGAACCTGAAATCAACAATCCAAAGACACTTATGCACCCCTATGTTCATCGCAGCATTATTCTCTATAGCCAAGACATGGAAGCGACCCAAGTGTCCCTCGACTGATGATTGGATCAAGATGTGGTATATATATACCATGGAATACTACTCAACCATAAAAAAAGACAAAATGGTCCCATTTGCAACAACATGGATGGACCTTGAAGGTATAATGTTAAGCAAAATAAGCCAGAAAGAGAAAGACAAACAGTGCATGCTTTCACTCATACATGGAAGATAAACTAACACAGGGACAGACAGAACTGTTTGGTGGTTACCAGGAGAAAAGGGGTGGAGGGTGGGCACAAGGGGTGGAGGGATACACTTATATGGTGACTGACAAACAATAATGTACAACAAAAATTTCACAATAAAAAATAAATTTAAAAACATGGCTAAAATGGTAAATTTTATATGTATATTTTACCACAATAAAATAAAAGAAAACTAATAATACCAATCTTATACAAACTCTTCCAGGGATTATAAAAAGAGCAAATATTTCACAAATAATTTAATGAGGCCAACATATCTATGATAATCAAAACCTGATAAAGACATTACAAGAAAAGAAAATCACAGGCCAGAATCACTTATAAACATAGATGCAACAGACTAAACAAAAATTTAATAAATCAAATTCAACCATATATAAAAAGGATCATACTTTATAAGTACAGTTTATTCCAAGAATGCAAACTCCATCTGAAAACAAGGTAATTCACCACATTAATAAAATGCAATACCAACTCATTAAATGTAATATTTGATAAAATTCAACATCCATTCATGATTTTATAACCTTGTTGGAAAACCAGGAATAGAAGAGCATTTCCTTAACCCAATAAAGAATATTTATGGCTAACAACATACTTAATGGTAAAACACTGAATGCTTTCCCATAGAAGTTGGGAACAAAAAAGAGTGTCTATTCTCAAGATGTCCACCCACAGTTCAATAACAAAAGAAAAAGAAATAAAAGGTCCAGAGACTAGAACGAAAGATGTAAAATTGCCCTTATTTGCAGATGACATGATTGTGTATGTCGACAATCCAAAAGAATCCACCAAAAAGTATTAGACAAGTTAGAAAGACCATGGGATGGAAGGTCAATATACTAAAATCAACTGTATTTCTATGTACTGGTAACAATTAGAAAAAAATTTTTTTAAATAAATAATGCTCCTTATAACATCAAAAAAAAGACATAAAATTTAACGAAATACATGCAAAATCTCTCTGAAAACTTCAAATCTTGATGAGAGAAATTAAACACCTAAACATAGAGAAAGAAATGTCCTATACATGGACTGAAAAACTCAATACTATGTCAACACAATATGTTAATATGTTAATTCGTCCCAAATTAATCTATTGATTCAACGTAACCTCAATAAAAAAGTGAATGGGTTTCTCTTTTTTGGGGAAATTAATTCCAAAATTTACGAGCTGAAATTAAAATGTATATGGAAATGCAAAGAACCTACAATAGGTACGACAATCTTGAAGGAAAAAAGAACAAAGTTGTACAAATTACACTATGAGATATCAAGACTTACCGTAAAAGACATTATGGTAGCGACACAAGAATAGACAGACCACTGATGAGATAAAGAGTTCAGAAACAAATACACACGCATATGACAACCTGATTTACAATAAAGACTTGCTGCAATGCAGTAGGGAAATGGTTCAACAAATGGTGTGGATCAACTGAGTATCAATGGAAAAAATGAATCTTGACCTCTACTTCACACGTGCAGAAAAATTAATTTTAGATGAATCAGAGAATACAATAAAGCCTCAAAGAAAATATAGGAGAATATCTTCATGTCCTTGGAGTAAGCAAACATTTCTTAAACAAGATATGAAAAGCACAAACCATAAAGGAAAAGATTGATAAATTGGTCCTCAATAAAATGATGACCTTCTTTTCATCAAAAGGCACTTTTAAGAAAGTGAAAAGACAAGCCACAGACTAGGGGAAGATACTGCAAAACATTATCTGGCAAAGGACTCATTTCCAAAATATATAAAGAACTTGGACACATCAATAAGAAAAAGACAGAAAATCCAATTAAAAAAAAAAAAGGCAAAAGAATTAGAGACTTTACAAAAGTGGATATCCAAATAGCCAATAAGCAGCACATGAAAAGGGGCTCAACATCATTAGTCATTAGGAAAATGCAATTTTAAATTACAATGAGATACCACTACACACCCACCCAAAAGGCTAAAATTAAAATAACAAACATAACAAGAAATAGGAAAAATGTGAAGTATCTGGAACTCTCAAACACAGCTGGTAAGAATGTAAATTGGTACAACCACTCGGGAAAACTATTTGCCAGCATCCATTAAAGCTAACAAATACCTACCTCCTAGGTATACACCTAAGGGAAATTAATACCTATGTCCACCAAAATACATGTACAAGAATGTTCATAAGAGCTTTCTTCATGATAGCCAAAAGTAGAAACAATCCAAATGTACATCAATAGGCAAAGAAATAACTAAATTGTGAACCTTTATACAATGGAATACTACTAGGCAATACAAAGAACTACCCCTCATCCAACATGGGTTAATCTTAGCCATAATGTTAAAAGAAAGAAGCCAGACACAAGTGATTCCAATTTATTTAAGGTTCAAGAACAGATAAAATTTATCTATGTTGACAGAAGTCAGACTAGCAGTCACCTGTTTTAGGGGTGAGGCACTGATTACAACGGGGCACACGGGAGCCATTTGCGGTGCAGGAAATATTCTGTTTCTTGATCTGGATAGTGGTTACACAGGTGTATCCATATGTAAAAATTGAGCTGTGTACTTAGGATTTGTGTTCATTTAAAAAAATAAAACATTAAGATAATTAACCTTGGAGAGAGAAAGGGGAAGGAGCCAAGAGTATTAAGTCTCTGTCCAATTCATATAGGTGTTATCTCACTATGAAAGCTGGGCACAGTGTTAACTCTAGATTATTCAATAAAGGAAGCAGTGGAATATAACTAAAAATTACTGCTAACTATCACCATCAGATTAAGTCTTCCTTTATCTCCTAAAAAGCAGTTGGTCTCTGACTCTTCTGAGTTTCCACAGATAATTTTTGTATCTTCAAGCCGTAAAGTTGCCTGACATGTTAGTAATAAATGTACTAAATGAATTAATAATAAGTATATGAACTTTGAAGTTACAGTTCATTTGCATCAGACCATTCTCACGTTAAAAGAAAGAAAAGGAACTAAAAAGAAGTGATTAAGAAAAAAGTTTTCAATCTTGTTGGCATTCTCAATCTGTGTCTACTCAGCACTTAGGACGCCATTGGTAATGCCATCTTTCCTACTACGAGACACAACTTTCCTCAAGATCTGACCTTGCTGTCTTTCAGACTCTTCTGTTCCCCAAAAAGGAGAACGGGAATGTACTATTTCCCAGCATAATACAGAATCTTAGCAATGTAAACTGGCATATTAGGTAAATCTTAAGAATTGAGTCAATAGGCTGAACAATTTTGACAACAGCAGCAACGAATTGTTTTTCCATCTGTTGAGACAACTTTTGGGAACCTGATTCTAACAAACTAGCAACAAACCACAAAAAAAAATTCTGTAAAGGAAGGTCTCTAGTTTCAGGGTAGCCCAAAATACGTTAGCAGAAAAATTAAGTTTTTAAAGCATAAAGTTACAGCGTAGGAAACAACGGCTTACTTCTAAACAAGCTGAAAATGTTTCCAATCAATGACACTACACAGCTTACCTGTTCCAGCACATCCAACTTTAACTCGAGCTTGCTGAGAACCACGTCTCCACCCCATAGTGAAAGCTGCAGATCTGATGGCTTTAAGTTCTTGATGTAGCGATTCACATAGCTCATTAAAATTGGAGTAACATATGACTCCAGCATCTTTTAACGTGCAGAGGAGTCGAAGCCAGAAGCTGAAGGGGGTGAAGATAGAAATATTAGAAGTAACTGAGTCGGTGGTGAAGCGAAGGAAAAAACATATCTCTGGAGAGGCTGAAGAGGCCGAAAAGCAACAGTCCCCACCAAAGCGGCCGCTCGCCTCCTCCCACACAAGCAGAGAAAACTCAAGTGGATTCTCGGCTCCAGATGCAACTTTCTCACTGGTACAACTCCCCTCAACTCGCCTGGCTACGAGTGGGAGGAAGAGGTGGTGACCTGAAGACAGCGGGCCCCCCCGGAGTGGGAGAACGAAGTGAGCGGGCTCCCCTTTGGTCACCGCACCCCTTCCCCAGCCCAGCCGCCCCACGAGGCCCTCGCCTCCCGGATCCCAGCCGGATCTACCACCGTAAAGCCAGAAGCAGAAGCAGGCCGGCTCCCGCCCCGCGCCGTACCGCACCCTCGGCTGACGCTCACGCCAGAGCACCATGGCGTCCCCTCCACCTCCCGTACCTGGCAGCCGCCCCCAGCAGCGGCGCAGCTCCTCTACGGAGCCACTTCCGGGTGTGCCTCACTCGGTGCGCAAAACAAACTGTCCCTCCACCGCCACCACTCGACTCTACAGGAGGACCGGAGTTCTCTGGCTGGAGAAGCCACTCAGGGCCCCTTCTAGGAGGAGAGCTCTTACGCTCGGCTAGCCTGCGTCTCCGCTCGACCCCACCAGTGGTTACGACAAAGCTCTAGGAAGTGCCCCGAGGAGGTGGGCGGACCGTTCAACTGGAGACACCGCAGATCCGGAAGTGGCGCTCCGAGAAGAGAGTGGCTGTGGGCCGCGGAAGGTCGAGTCCGGGGGAAAGCACGCAGGGCCTCAGGTCCAATGAGGAAGAAGAAAGCACGTCCTAGTATTTAAAACCCTGAGAAACAAGTAGTAATTGTTTCCCTTGGGAAATGGAAGGCCTGGGAGGTGCAACTTGGGTTCAGTGGGCAGGGCAATAGCAATAAGGCCGCAGGTAGGAGAAGCCAGGGGTGGGGGCGGGGGGCAGACTTAAATTTAGATCTGAGGTTCGTTTGCTGGAAGAAGGGTGGATGTGAAAAGAGAAATTGAAGGGATTAGCATGTGTGATTTAGGGGACTGCGTTTTGACCAAACGTGTGGACAAGCTCTCGCGTTCTTCTACTTTGGCGAAGCAATGGTTAAGTATTCTCAAGTTTGCTGATGCGGGGCGGGGAAGGCCTGGTCAGAGAAGGTTGTGGAGAACCATTGGAGTACAGTCTGATATGGGACTTCAGAAAAGCGGCGCGTCTATCAGAAGAAGAAAATGAGACTCCTAGAGACAAAGTGAGAAATAGCTGATAAGGAATGAATTTAGAGTTTTAAGAGAAAGTGTTGGCTTTATTAGGCTGAAATTAATGTATAAATTATTTCCTTCTTGTACCTTGCAACCTAAGTCAAGAAATTCAAACACCTAACTCGGAAAAATATACAGCTTAAAGAGCTTCTGAAGAAAACACCTACTACTGCATTTTGAAAATAGACTTTCCTTATAAAGTTATTAAAATATCCATGTTGTTAGTTGCATTTAATTGAAAATACTTCATGAGTAAATTCCTAAAGCTCTTTCCTGGAATTCAAGTCATGATTTCTTGAAAGTTTTAGAAACTGCAATAGAAAAGAAGCATAAGTGAGGATGCCAAGATGTTTAGATTTATTTTGTTAATGAAAATAATAACTAAATTTCCCCCCAAAAAGAGAGAAGCAGCTAATTGCTAGTTCAGAGCAACTGTCCCCTCACAAAAAGTCTTAATGAATAACCCAAGTAATTTGGGTATTATTAAGACCTACTAAATTGGCCAAGTAAATTAAGTAATTTCTTAGTTATCTGCTTCACCTGAAAGGCAAACAGATTGAAGCTACCTTTTATAGCAGGAAGTGTTATTTTAGCTATCACATAGGTAGATAGATAATAGACATGAGCTGAACTTAATCTATTCAACTTGGTTACTTCAGAAACATTAAAATTGTAATTTGATTTACTCATTACATTATCATTATTTGATTAAATTGTCAAATTTTATTAATTAAATTGTAAAATATAACTTGCCTAGACAATCAGTGAGTTATTCATTGAATACTCTTTACATGTTACACCTCATTTTTTTGTGTATGTGTGAGGAAGATTGTTCCTGAGCTAACCATCTGTGCCAATCTTCCTCTACTTTGTATGTGGGACACTGCCACAGCATGGCTTGATGAGTGGTGTGTAGGTCTGTGCCCTGGATCCAAACCGGCAAACCCTGGGCTGTCGAAGCGGAGTGCACGAAGTTAACCACCATGCCACTGGGCCGGCCCCATACCTAGTTTCTTTTATAACAAAAGGTATGGCAAGATGAGGAGGCTCAGACATGGAAAGGTTAAGTGAAGGTTAAGTTAACGTTAAGTGTGACCTATGGTCACAGCTAATCAACCCAACACTTATGACTTCAAGTCTCCATTTTTCCCCTTTTGAGAAGGAAAAAAAAAGAAACAGAAAAAAAACCACTAATTACTATAATAATAGAACAACAAAGGAAGTTATCTGGGTTTAGAGTAATACACATACTGGAGCTGCCCCAAACACTTCTGACTAGCTTCCTAAAGAGTTACAGCACATAAAGGTTTTTTTTTTTGCTGAGGAAGATTCGCCCTGAGGTAACAACTGTTATCAGTCCTCTTTTTTTCCTTGAGGAGTAGCCCTGAGCTAACATCTATGCCAATCTTTCTTTATTTTGTATGTGGGTCACCACCCCAGCATGGCTGACAAGTGGCATAGGTCCGCGCCCAGGATCCAAACCCGTGAACCCAGGCAGCTGAAGCGGAGCGCATCAAACCCAACCACTATGCCATGGGGCCAGCCCCTAAAGATTTTTAATGTAGTGTCAGAGTTAACTGTAAACAAGTCTCTGTCCAAGTCATATAGGTGTTATCTCACTATGAAAGCTGGGCACAGTATAGCTGATAAGAAGTCCAATTGGTAGGAAATCAATAATAATCATGGTTGCTACATTTTATGCTAACATTTAAATATGTTAGTTTCATATTCTGAATTTATTCATTAACTCAAAGACATTTTTTGAATTCCCACTATGCAGTATACACCATGCTAGGCACTGAGGCGTGCCTGCATGGAAGAAGCTCAGTTTCATTGGAATCACAGATATAAATGACTAAAATATTATACGATTAAGTGAAATATGTACAAAGTGCTGTAGGACGTGAAAAAGTCATGTAGAACTATGTGAGAAAATCAGTCAAGGCTTAAGAGGAGAGTTATCAGCTACAGATAATTTTTTAATGTTACCTCCTATTAAAGAAGTAGTATTACTCTCCAGAGTGTCAGAGACTAGAACTAGGCAGAGTTCAACTTCTATCCAACTGCAAAACAATGTACTTTTTCCACTGACCTAAGTCTTTCAAAGAAAATCAGGAATTCCTTGTTTGTAATACTCACTAAAATAAATGGATGCTACCACAAGTGGAATGGCCTAGTTTAAGACCCTGAGGACAGAAACAGTCCTACAAACATCTACTAGATCAAAATAAATTGAAGGGATAGGCAGGTATACCAATGGGGCTGAATAAAGAGCCCAGAAATAAACCTCCTCATTTATGGAATCTTGATATATGACAAAAGTGGCACTACAAACCAAAGGGAAAGGGTTTGCATATATCGATAATTGGTACTGGGACAATTACTATCCATGTGGAAGGAAATTAAAATTAGATTCCTGCCTAAGACCTAAGAGTGAAGTCCAAGTTTTATGGAGCCTGATATTTATAATTTGGGGATACCCATTTAAGAAAAACAAAACATTTTACTTTTGCAAAATTGTATAAAAATATACAACACATTACTTGGGCTTCTCCCAGGGCCTTAGAAATGGCTTGTGAAAGTAATGGTCTCTGAAGCTTAAGGTTCATTAGGTTCATGGTGAATGTATCTATGCTCACAACAAACACAAAAATAAACCCCAGATGGATTAAAAACTAAATGTGAAAAGGAAAATTTTTTAATTTATAGGAGAAAAATTGTTATCCCTCAGAGAGGAAGGATTTTTTAAATAAGACAAAAATACTTAAAGAAGACAAACTATAAAGGAAAAGCTTAAGAAGTTTTATACATGAAAATCAAAGCAGTTGTTTATCAAAGAACATGTTAAAGTAGGTTACAAGCCACAGGCTGGGTGAAGATACTCGCAATATATATTAGTTAACAAAAGATTAGAATACAGATTTTATAATGAACTATAAATTAATGAATTAAAGACAATCCAATAGAAAAATGGGCAATTCATAAAAGAGGAAACCCAAATGTCTAATAATCACAAGAAAACATATTCAACTTTGCTAATATTTAGGGGAATGAAATTTAAAACAACAGTGACTTGCTATTTCATGTCCATCAGATTAACAGCATTTTTATGTCTGATGTCAATGATATGGAATGACTGGAACTAATACACTGCTAGTGAAAACTCCACATGGAGAGGAATTTAAGAATATCCAGCATAGTTGAAGATGCATATACTCTAGCAATTCCACTTGTAGGGTATAGAGAAAGTCTTGCATATGTGCACACAGAGACATGTTTAACAATATTTTGCAGCATTGTTTGTAGTAGTAAAACAGTAGAAACAATTGAAATATCAACAGGAAAAATGGTTAAACTGTAGTATATTCATATAATGAAATATTATATAGTAGTGAAAATGAATGAGTTAGAACTATGACTTTCAAATATTTTACCTACAGTTAGAAATATAGTTTATACCATGACTCAATATGCATATATATGTATAGAGAACCCTCACAAAACTATACTTAGATTGAGTACATGTGATACATCCTGTTCTCTCTGTTATTCTATTTCTTTATTTTTTCTAAAGTAGTTTACGACCTACCAAATTGATACTGTGAGCTACTAATGGTTTGCAACTCACAGTCTGAAAAAACACTAAACAAAGTTACACATTTATCAACATTAAAAAATCTGAAAAATATAACATTGAGAAAAAATAACAGAGTATAGCATATCGTAGTATGTATACATACACATATATATATATGTATGTATACACACAGTCATGCATTACTTAATAACAGGGATACATTCTGAGAAATGTGTCGTTAGGTGACTTCATTGTTGTGTGAACATCATAGACTGTACTTACACAAACCTAGATGGTAGAGCCTACTACACACCTAGGCTATATGGTACTAATCTTACAAGACCACTGCCATGTATGTGGTCCATTGTTGACCAAAACATCATTATGCAGCACGTGACAGTACATACCTATGGCATTCAAAGAAATGCTATATATTGTGATGGCCACATATATATTTAGAAATAGTATTAAATACTTTCATGACAAAGATAAACACCAAATTCAGGATAGTAATTACCTCTGAAGAAGAAGAAACGGAAGAATAAATCAGGGGAAGGGACAAGCAGGAAATGAAAGGTAAGGCAGAATTATAGGTGGCCTATCCAAGCACTGAAGGATTGCCTCTGCTCAGAGCCAATCTGCAAAAATAAAGAGAGCATGTTTTTTTCTTTTTGGCTCCAGGCATTTAAGGAAATCTCTGTCAGGACTGGCTGACCACTGAGATAATGCAACAGAGACTTAGGTAACCATACACAAATAAGAAATACAGTCTTTGCAAAAATAGTATGGGAAAGTCACTAGACAAATGGATGACTACAGACCTCAACAAGCAA